TCCAGTTTCTGCATCCTGACAGCAGGTCCCTAAAGCTTTGGAGGGCAGGGCAATTCTCAATTAATGGTAGAAAAAATTAAATATTTTACTATTTCAAGGTCTAGTTTGGATTGGAGAAAAAATGGACTAAAATAGCTCACTGTTTTTCAAGTGAGGCTGGGATTTACTCCTGAAAAATTGCACGCAAATTTAATTTTTTAAAAATAGAATTCTATATTAAATGCACAAATACTCACAACTTAAAGGAACCTTGCAGTGAATAGTTTTTGTAATGTATATAATTCCTAATTTGTTTCATAAATTTGGGTTGTCATATAACAGATTTTCTTGAGAATAGGATACATCTGTTTTCTCATCATTATAGATGGACTATCACAATTATCCTGGGAACACTGATTTGGCCTATCTTATTTAGTAATTGAACGGGAACTGGGGAGGGTATTTTTGATCAATTCATCCACATTGTTGCTCAAACCTTGATGTATAGGTACCTGAACTTGTAAAGACATTCAGTTCCAAATCTGAATTAAGGCCCTAAGTAATCATGCGTTCGCTGTACAGACTGATGAATATATTTGGCAAATCTTCCATCTGCGGAGCACTTAAAAGCAAAGGAGCCTTGGGTATTGATTAGTCTAGCCTACAGACCCTAGCTCATCATAGAGGCTATCTTAGTGGAGAGAAGTCAGTGTCCATCCCAAAACTAAACTTGAAAAAAGGTACCCTGGACCTGTGCTTCTACCTGGGATGGGGGCAGCGGGAGGAGCAAGAGGAGAAGAAAGAAGGGAGGGATTACATGAGGTTAAGTCAGTGCCAATTAGTCTTCCTATAGTCCTCAAAACCCCAGGATTATGGTTACCCCGGCCACTAAAATCTAAGAAATATACAAAAGCCGTAGCAATTTTGGGTCCTGATAAAAAGACCGGCTAACATACCACTGAACAGTATGTTTTTGTTTCTGCTGTTCTTAGATATAATCCAATATCCTTATTGCCACCACCACCTCCCGAAGAAAATCAAAAGGGGGCTCTTCAAAAATATAAAAAAGGGGAAAAATGAAATGAAACAGATTCTCAATTTGCTTCTCTCTAACCCCAGTATAAAAGAAATGGAATTGTTTTCTGATTGCAAAGACAGTGAATCTTCTGACCTCTGCTTTTTTCCTGAATTTTATGACAATGGTTCTTCACCATTTTTCCTTCCTCTTTATGAACTCATGCGTGTATGTTGTGTTTCATAGAAAATGAGACCACGTTAGCACAGCTCCAGGTGGTATTTCAGCAGGCTCTCTCTGGTGACCTTTTGGTTAAAACTATGCAAGTGGACTCTTCATTAGCTGCGGGTGAACGGGGCTACAGTCAGTGAAGTTTCCCCAACCTTTCTTCCTCTCACCAGGTGTCTGCTGAGGAAGACAACATATCCTAGTCTTCAGGACTGAATTGACGTCCTGGAAAAGAGGGAGCAGCTGAAGACCACACATATGGTGCTCGGATTCAGCTGCAATTCTGTAATGACTTGGATAGAGACAGAAGCCTGCTGGAATGGCCTTGTGGCTTGTGCTATGAACCTCCTGGATTACTTGCAATCTTAGGCTGCTTCTAATTCTCACACACCGATGTCATTGTTTGTCCCCTCCTCAGGAATCTTGATTGAAATATGGCCTCTCTATATTCAAAGAGCTATCAACCTATTTCAGGGTCACAGGCAGATGACTTGAATGCTATGAATGACCCTTTTTTCCAGACTCAATTATCTTCTAGAATTAGACAACCACACAGCTCGAATGGATCTCAGAGGTCACCCAGTCCAATCTTTACCTAAATCAGAATTCTTCCCACAGCACTCCAATGAGTGGTCATCTGCTAAGAGGTAACACACTGCTTTCCAAGGCAACTCATTTTGCTTTTGGACTGCTTTGTTTAGGAAGTTTATCCTTATGTCTAGCCTAAAGTATTCTATTAATTAACACATTAATTAATAACTTTCATTGCTCCTAGCTGTGCCTCTAAAGGGCCAAACGGAAAGTTTTCTCTTCCCCTGACAAGCTTTCAAACATTTAAAGCAGCCATCATTTTCCTCCTAAACTGCTCTCTTCTCCATGACAAACATCCCTGACTTCCTTCAAACAATCCACATAAGGCATGCTCTTGGGGCCCCTCACTCAACTGATTAAGCTGATGGCTCTCCTATTGCTCTGCAATTTGCCAACATCCTTCCTAGAATGTGGAACATAAACAGAAGATGGTGATACAGATGTGATCTGACCAGTACAACGTAGGGTGGGATTAACACCTCCCCTGAACAGGAGGATATCATGCCTGCTAATGAGACTAAGATTATATTAGCTTTTTTTGGCTATCATATCACATTGTTTTGACACTTTTACCTTGAAGTCCATGACAACCCTCAGGATCTTTTTCATGTGAACTGTTATTCAGACAAATTACCTAATCTGGATTAACTACAAAAAAGGTTATGGATAGTGCAACAGAGGGCTGTTTATCTTCAAGACGGACTTCATGGAAATGGTGTGCAAATGATGCTAGACTAGCTTGTGCAATTCTCTTGGTTTAGTCATCGCTCAGTCTGTCACAGACACCGAAGTGATATGCAGAAACAGGAAATTACAGACTATTTTAAACAGCATGTTTTATTAAACTCACTTGCTGATGCATTCTATGGCAGGATGCTAGGTTTCAAGTGTTCATAACCTACATCTTTGCAAGTGCTTTTTTAAGTGTGTTCTCCTGCCTAATATATGGCATGTTCATTGGGATAGAAAAATCTCTACTGTGGTTACTATTTCACCCCAGGTCATGCAGCTATTTTACATAAAGAGAATAATTTATAGTTATACTGAAGGGCATACACCTTGCTAGAAGTCTCTCATGTGCTGTATAATCCTAGGAAAGCAACAGAAATGCCTCACAGAGACTTTAAAGTTCCTTAACGCCTTTATTCTGTACCCAGAATCAAAACATAGCAATCTTAAAATGAATACCAGTTAACTGTACGTAGAAACTGCCTTACCACCTTATTTTCCATTTCATAGAAACTGCCTTACCACCTTATTTTCCATTTCAAACTATGTATCTTTCATCAAACCAATACTTCTACTTCCCCTTCTTTGGATAGCTTTATATTTTTAGACATTTATGGTTACTGTTGTCCTGAATCTCTGCTTTTTTCAAGGCCTGTTAGAGCTAGAAAGTATAGGACAATACCAATTATAATTATGAGTTAATTTTAAAACAAGGGGACAGGAATGTGAATGGTGTTTAATAACAACATGGGAGTGAATATCATGAAATGTAATCAACACAACAGGAGGGGGAAAGGCAGTGAAAACTGTAGGTATTTTCAATCTACCTCGAACATGTTTTCATGCTAACATTTTGTTAGGAAGGGATTAAGAGTTTGGTTTCAACCACATAAAAATCCTTAACACCATGACTTAAATTTCTTGTTGGGGTGCCACTGGACTACAGGTTGTTTTGTGCTCTGCTCTTGCTACAAACATCAACCCTTCAGAAGATGAACAATTTTCATCAGTCAGTTCACTGACACAAACAATGACAACCACCCACATTTGTAGATGTTTTTTATCCGGTCATGTTACCCATGTCCACTCCAATGCACCACATTTTTAGCGGCTGACTTTCAAATGACAAGCCTCTCTGAATCCACTGCACAGCTTGGTACAATCTATCAATACTTGTACTCAATGGACCAACTACTTCTGAGAACTAACTACAATGCCATGATGATGCATCATAGGGGACTTTACTGGAGACCTTAATAGAATTTTAAAAAAATATTCCTTGATACAAACATTCCTTAATAAAAACAAAATGCTATGTTCTAACAATGAACTCAAATGTTGATCTTACTTTACATAATTGATGTGCTCTTCAAAAGTTGCATGCAAATTAGACCTAAGTTTCTAGGCCTAAAAAATCGCTTTAACTGCTTTTTATTCATTTTTTGTTTGATCATCAATAAGCAGGTGGAACCTCAAAGTTTTTCTGCCTTTTTCCCATCCTTCCTTCAGAGTCAAATAGGATCACAGGGAACATATATTTAGAACTGAAGAGGGCTTTAGAGATTATTTAGCTCCACCTTCTCATTTTAGAGATGAAGAAGCTATGGCCAAGAGAAGGCAGGGGACTTACTTTCATCAACTAAAGGAACCCCTGGGAAAGGGTTTGGGAAAATTTGGGATTTCTTTACAATAAGTTTTTTAAAAAAACTATAACAAATTGTGGAATTCTGGATTAGAGATGAATTGATTTTTAGTGGCTCAGGTATAACCAACCTATGAATGGCAACATGGGCATTTAAAATGATGGTGCTTTGCGTATTCTAAAAGTATGGGGTCATAAGACCACACTCACTCACAGCTGTAGCTGGTTCTAGAATGCTAACATTCGGGTGCCCAGTTTGGAAAGATATGATTAGCTTTATATGAAGCTTATTGTTGAGAATGTGGTTCCAGAAAATCAATAACCAGGCCTTTTTTAAAAAAAATCTTTGGTTAGAAAAGGAAAAAAAAAACCAACCCTTTTGATTAGCCTTCTCCTTTTTCATATTTAAGTTGTTACTGTTAAATTCATAATAAACATGTTACATTTGACAAATCAAGTTTCAACTAACTTTTCCTCTCCTTAACAAATGAATAATAGTTTATATTAGAATATTGTTTTAAAAATTAGGGAAAATATAAATTATTTGAAATGTTAGATATTTAACATTTTCCTAAAGTCTACATGTTATAACGGAAACAGATAGTATGAGGAACTTAAGGTTTCACACATTTTACTTTAAAATGCCACAAGTCTGCCAGATAAGTTATTTAAAACTCTGTACTACACCTTATATAAGACAACCTTCTTTGGTCACTATCCACTTTAACTCCTAGGCATTGTCAGTATCGTGGTGGTGAGAAAGAAGAGGGAGAGAGAAATATATATCCATTAGCCATTAAAGATATAAAATCTTAATGAATTTTGGTAATTTTAATAAATATATACCAAGTAAAACCTCACTTTACTACAACAACACGTTGGTATACAAGCATCTAATATCTAACATCAAACGTTTATCAAATATTGAAAATAAAGAACAGACATTACTAGACTACTCAGCTACAACACAAGAACATGTTTAAAAAAAATTGGTCCTTGTGGACAATTGTCCAAATGATGATCCTACTCATACACTGTATGAATGAGACCTATATTTAATATTAATAGCAATAAATTTTTTTAAAAAAGCTTTTATCTTGGAGAAATTGGGGAGGAGGAACAGAACATATTTATTTCCATCATTTGATATTTAATTCCTGTGAAGCACTGTTTAAGAATGGCCAAGTCAATTCATAACCTTGTAAATGGGAATATACTTTAGGTAGTAGATAGATTGGGGGGAGTAGAGAAGGATGGGAGGGATCTTTTGGACACTTTTGAAAACGTATATGCTTAAGTGATGAAAATGAAGAATTTTGACCAAATCTATTTTAGCCACTGTAGATTCAAGTCCCATTTCTCCAAAATAACTTTTCAGAAACTAAAATCTTTACATTCAAGATAGAACCTTATTGATCGCCACATCATTTATTAAGATTGTGCTTCTTAATTAACAGCAAAAGTCATATATAAAAAAACCACATGCTTTTATAATCTAAAGGAGTGAAATTATGCAAAACAGATTAAAGTATAAAGCATGCCACTGGTTCATGAACTTCATTATACAAAAAAACAAAAACAAAAACAAAAAACAACAAACCCCAGCAACAGACTGTTGCCATAGAAATGCATAAGCAGCTAGTGCTGGTTTATAACAGATCTCTCTATTGTTTCCTCAATCCCTTTCTAAAAATGCCAAATCCAAAAGCAATTGGGCATTGAAAAAAGGAAGAATAGAGATGTCGAATAAAAAGTTGAACTCAATATTTCAAATGTAACAGTTTTCGAACAATATTGATCCACCCTGTGTGTTATTTTCTGTTTGTTAAATCCCTGCTGTAACTCTGATTTTATCCTTAATTTTCACAATGGCAAAAATTAAGATAAAGTAAGGCACCAAAAAACGCCCTGTATGACAACAGACCTCCCAAAACCTCTTTACTCATCACAGGCAAGGCAGAGACTTGCAAGTGACTCCATTCCACGGAATTTGTTTTTATTATGGTTCCATAAACAGGTGTGTTTAGTTATATTACATACCAATTTCTTCAGTCACCCGAGACTGTTAAATACCAATATTTAACAGTGTCTACACCAGAGTGTGAAGTCAGTTCATCTGATTTCACTAAATCCAGTCTTTTACTCAGAATAAATACTGTATCGTATATATGAAGCAGATAACCCTAGCTGGAAATATTGATGTGCTTACCAAATAACTAGCTAATTAACTGGCAAACTGATGACCTTTCTTAGTTAGTCACAGACTTCTTGCAAGGCAAGGGACATATAAAAGGGCTCCTTATCCCCAATCTGATCTACTGGTCTTTTCTGTTACAAACTAAGATATACTTGTAAGCAGTAATTCAACTGTTTTCTCTGTGAAATCTCCATATTTATAAGTAGCTCACTGATGCAGATTGTACAGATGTTTTACGCAATCTGCTCTCCAGGCATTAAAACTACACGACATGTTCATGGCATAATTGTATCAGTTGTACAAAACTATAAAATCCATTCAAAATAAAATTTATGATAGCTAATTGATCATGCTGTGCATGCTTCAAAGTTACAGCAAAAAGATGGCTCATATTTTACTTCCTTTGCTGCAGCACAGTTTATTACTCTGTAAAGATTCCTTTTTCCTTAAGGATTTTTTCCAAGATTCACTTACATTGCTTTTTTCATTACACCCAGTCTCAAAATAATCATAAAATTTGCCTTTACATTCAAGAGCATGGTCGCCTCTCATGGGTTCCCGACTTAGGGTTATGCCATCTCTCTCAGTTTCATTATTTGCTTTCTCATCATTTAATTTGGCCTTTTCCTGAATGCCAGGAGACCTGGCATTAGTAATGAATATTTCATTGGCAGGTATCTGGTCATCACTTCTGTAAAGAGGTGCACTGCTTATGCCATAATCCACCTGGTGGGAACAACTTGGCAAAGACATAGGGGTAGAAGAGGAGGAAGAGGAGGAGGAAGAAGAGGGTGAGGCAGAAGAATTTCCCCCATGAGCACTAACAGAGAAGGGTAAGTTTAGGTAGTGACCACCACATTCCTGATAGAAGCAGCAGGCATGAAACTTGTCACAGTCCTCTTTTGTCATCCGGATTCGTTTTCGGTAAGGACAGTCTTGGGCCATGAACCACTCCTGGGAGGAGGCTCCACTAAACGAGCAGGCAGAAAAGCACCAGTTATTCTGCATGATAATTTCTCCATGGATCCTTTTCATTAAGTTATTTATAAGCACAGATCTTCGGAGATATACTTCAGGGTCATCGATAAACTTTAGCTTTTCTAAGGACATGTAAAGGATGTGAGCTCGTTCCTCAAAAATGGAGATGGTCTAAAATCAAAAAGGAAGAGAAAGGAGAGAAGGTTTAGAAGGTTTAGAGGCCAACATCGAACAACCACAACACAATGCCTTCTCCATCTGCAGATATATCATTTTCACTTGGGAATTGTGTGGACTTATTTCCACAAGGCCCCTCCCCCAAAGAAGCCTCTGTTTACCCTTCATCACACAGATCATCCTGCTCCATAGTGACTCCTCAAGTTGACCAAGCAGATCAGAAGCCAATCTCTCTTTCCCTAAACAAACCTCAGAACTAAGGGAAATTCAGGCTTCTTTCTGCCCCAGGGTTTTGTCACTGGGGAAGTGTTAAGATGCTAAGATGCAACTAACAAGGCACATTTCAAGAGTATTTCAAACCCAGACTTCCAGGAGGACTCAATCTGTCAGTCAGCTGGGACTAAGAGATTCTGGCTTTAAACCTTGTCCCTCCTTTTCATCCTTTCTGCCTCATGCTTGCAACTGGATAGCAATAATCCAAGAGGCCCAGGTCCTGAGAGGATCTACCACTTGAAGGTCCACTAGGGACTGGGGAGCAGTTAAGGAGAAATTAGAGGGCCTATCATTATAATGAATGATCTATCATTGGATACCTTATGTTCTACTATTTAAGAATCAATGTAAATCATAAAAAATCTGAAAATTTTGTTAGCATCCTAAAGCAGAAAATAAAATGGACTAACCTCCTGTCACATTCCTATGTGAACGTTCTTTCAGTTCACAAGAAAGGCAAACTTGTAGGTTAACATGGTAAACCATGAATTAAGTCAGTCCATGCTACCCAAGAACTATGAATGTGTATGTGTGTGTGTATGAGACATCCTTCATGAATGACAAAAAAAAATCAAAATGATCAGGAGAGAAATTAAACATAAACTCCTCAACAGATCACTATTTCTGATGAACTTGGTAGACATTTTAAAAGAAAGAACGGACTCTGAAATGATTAAATTGCCAGTTTCATAATAGTAATTACTTTGCTATCCCTTGTTTTCCATTCTACCACAAAATAAATAAATTCACACACACGCACGCGTACACACACACAGCCATGCTTCAGTGTCCATAGGTGGCTTGGGCACACATTCAGGAACACCTGTCCTGTATATCTGGATACATGTGTAATTAGCATTGATCATAATGGCAGTCAGGCAGAGGCTTCAAACATGTATGGATATAACAAAATGTATATTGTGTGAAAGTCTGAAGAGTAATCCCAACCTATCATTTAATACCAAAATAATAAGACCATAAGAAAAATTATCATTCCTTAAGATGATTTCATTTTGTTGTTTCTAGAAAAAGGAGTCTCCACCTCTTTATTTCTTAAACTCCTTCTGAAAATTAAACATCTCTCTGCAAAGTAACAACTAATGTGGCCAAGAACTGGTTGTTTTCATTGCTTGGGTGGAATAATTCAATTTCTGGAACTTCATCAAGCAACTCTTCCTAAATATCTTAAACTCTTTTAATCAAAATGACTATTCAAAAAAAAAAGCATACTTTATGGTTACAGCTGCTGAGTGGTGGGTGAAAATCCTCTTCTTCCACATACTTCCTCTTAAAGTATGTGATCTTGGATGTTGTGATAGGATTTGAAATTCCCCTGTAATGTGATCCTGTGGTAATAAATCAGATATGACAAATGACATGCGGTTTGCCAGAGGTTCTCCAAACAAAACATTTTCCTTTCCTTTTCTAGTACAGGATAACTCTGCTACATATTTGTCTGTACATGTGGTGATTAAAAATAAACATTTGTCATAATAGTAACTATCTCATGGAATCCTAGGCTTCAAGTCTTTTCTTCAGTCAATTTCAGAGAAAATAGCTTGCTTCAGCATTGCTAGAATACTTGCCTCAATATTTTCAATTGGAAAATTTTCACTATTTACAGGCAAACAGCAGAATTAATTAGTGGAAAGACTCCAAAAGCTCTGAGTTATAGTAGTTTTACTTTCAAAACACTTAATAAAACCCATGCACCTATTAAAATGGTAACACAGCACTGAACCCAAGTACACCTCATTGCATCTGTGTCTACATGTACACACAGACACAATCTATAACCGGCAACCTCGACTGAACAAGGCCACAGAGCCTATGCTAAGACAGTAATGTAACTATTATTTATATGTAATGGTTACCCTTCCTAAATTATTAGTAGCCCTAAGCATGAAAACACATCTGTCTGTGTTAATACAACTTTGTATTTCAAAAGCTAAAATTTCAGTTCCTTTATATAAAATGTTCAGTTAGCACAAGTCTATGCACTTTAGTCACAAAATATATTATGATAAAAATGAAAAGATATTTTAAAACCACAACTTCATGAGAAAATCCATTTTGTATACTTTTAACAGTTCAAAATTTTATTAAGACTGTCTCACACTTCATGTTTTACATAATAATTCATATTTCATTATAATTCAAAAGAATTTACCTTATAGCATAAGAGCAAAAGAGATGGTCATAAGAAGGAGAAACAAACTGTTATTTTGTTGGCTTAAAAAAAATGCCCTAACATTCTTTGTAAAGCCAATTGCGTGCTCGGCATAAAAGAAATAGCTCAGAACTGCTAGCCAAAAGTACCATTTCTTTTTATTCCACTGGATAAAGATTTCATTGTCAAGCCCACCAAGGGCTAATGTAGCTCTAAGAAAACCATATGCTTCCACAGAGGGTGAAATTAAAACCAAAATGTTGCCCCGGGTTTTTTCCAGGTTAGGTTTTTTAATGTTAATTTTAAAAAACAACAGAACCAGCTGCAAGACCTGTACGAGCCACACTACTCCACGAGCCACACTACTCCACGAAGATACAGTTTTTGATGTCATTAAACACTACAATCAGTTCTTTCCCACTAAAGCCCAGGAGTTCTTATTACAGTCAATATAGAGCCCTTCAGAAGAACCATTCACAAGGAAGCCCCGGAGGCCCCGGCTTGGAGCTCCCCCACCCTCGGCCCCTAGACTGGTTTCAGTGTGGAGCAGGTGAAAGGGAGGGACAGTACCTGCCAGAGAGTGGCAGACCCCTCTGTCCCCCTGGGGGGGAGCCTGGAGAGGACCTGAGGGGCTGCAGTGGCTGTAGCAGTCGGATTCCCATAGTGTCTGGTACTCAGCAATTTCGGCAGCTCCTTCCGAAACAATAGGATCACAGAATCTATTCATGGACAGAACCAGAGTCATCTCTGACAACCTTAAATCTGGAAAAAGAAAAATAACCTTAATCAAAATCAAACTAGAGGCTCGTGGCATTTTCCTTCCTTGGCAGGAGGGAGACTTTGACTTCTAGGTTTTGCTATGGCCTCTTCGATATTTTCCATTCCAAAAAGAAAAGGCTAAGAGCCCAGAGCTCAACTCTCTGTTGCCTCTTCTTTAGTTCAGCCCCTCGTTCAGCAATCTGCATTTCAGGGGCGGATCTTTAAAACCCCATTTCTTATTGTTCTCCAGATTCCCTTCAGCCCTCTCTCAGAGAGCTGCCTGGCCTCCCTAACACGTTTTCCTCAAGACCTTCCCATAGAAAACTCACCACTGAGAAGCCAAAAGCCCTGCATTTTTCTTTCTATTAATAATGGAAAATCAATTTTCTAGACAGTCCCTAGAGGTTTTCCTTTGATGAAATCCGTTAATCAATCAATCAAAAAAAAAAAAAAAAAAAGGAAAGCCCCTAGTACAATACCAACTGATGCTCACAGGTCTACAAATCAGTTCAGTTGTTTTCCACTCTCCTCGAATTTCCAGAAACGCTGCTTCCTCTAAGACATTGTGGGGTGTCCCCCTCCCTTTTTTTATCCAAAAATGAGGCAGACAGAGACACTTGGTAGTTGTTTCCACTAGCCCTGATCGGACTGAACTGGATCTGCCTCCAGTCAAAACACTGTGAGATTAAGACAGAAAATTGGCTCCAGTTTCAAGCCGTGAGTTGCAATCCCATAGGAGCCAAGCACAACATCAACTGAGCAGGCAGAATATTAAACAGGAGCCAGGGCTTCAGGGCCAGAGGCAGCTTACAACTTCTCACGTTGCAAAACCTAGACACCAGAAGAAAACTTTCCGAAGAGACTCTTCATCATCAGTGGCCTTTTCTTTAGCACAGAAATAAATTAAGTCACCGCAGGGAATCTGGGTTCCTACATATCTCTGTAGTTTCCACCCCATCCCCAGCCTCTATCTAACCAAATCCAAAAAGTCCCCACTATTGCCCTAAGGAGAAGGAAATGGCAAACCACTGCAGCAGCTTTGCCAAGAAAACCCCATGGACAGTATTGGCATGGTACTGCCTATGGGGTCACAAAGAGTCAGATATGACTGAACAACAACAACAACAATTTCCCCAAGGATAAATTTCTCTACTTAATTCTTGAATAGGTTTGAGGGAAGCAGAAGAAGGTTGGTACCTAAAAAAGTGAGAGGGCTGTGGCTTAAAAAAAAAAGTTTGCACAGTCAAACTATGACTATTATTAGCCTTACAACTAGAACCCAGTACACCAAAATAAGGTATAGCTAAGTCCCAATTAGGGCAAATCACGAATCTCCTGAAGTGGTCGCATCATTCAAACTTGCACTGTTTCACCGTGCAATGAGCTAGAACCAGTTCCCTCATTTCACATAATTTTATAACTTTGCTTAGTGTGAATGAGATACATTTAACCACTTTATGAGAATGTAGTACTTGCACTAATCGGGACCTCCTCACCATCTTGTCTCAGCAGTATGTCAGCTGCTTGATTTCAAAGGACACAAAGCTTCTCCCATCTCGGTACCTAGTTTAAAGGATTGTCAAAGAGAATGGTGACAAGCCTACATTCTTTTAACACTGACTGTCTTTCACAACTCTCAAACACATATGAGAGGCCCAATTTATCCTTCCTTCTTCAAATGTGCAATCTGGAATGCTCTAAGGAGAGGCAAGGATCAACAGAAGGATGACTGCCTCATTCCATTCTCATGTATCTCAATGCTCTTCGGAGGTCCTCTTTTAAGATAAGGAAAACACAATCAAAAGATACAGATCAATTAAAATAATATTGGTGTTTGAACCTCAAAGCACTTGACCCACACTACTGTTAACTCCACAATCCTGTCATTTCTCAGACTCACTATATTCTGGAAACAAGGCAAAGCAAAGAGGTCAGGTGGCTTCCTCAAGTGATTTCAGTCCTGAGTGATTTGAGTCCTGATTTTCAGCTCTGAGATCCTCCATGTTTCTAAAGATGCCATAAAGAGTGATCGGGGAGCTCACTGACAAATTCTGGAGTGTTTACACCAAAAAAGTTGAAGTGATGCCTTAAAAGAAAGAGTCGGTGGCACATGCCATTTCTTTCGCTACTTGACAGTTGTCACCAAAAAAATTTGGCCTGGAGAAATAGAACAAAGCAAGTCATCCTGTCTTCCCTTCCAACTCTGCACCCTGTGTGTCAAATCTCAAATGACAACGTCCCTGGGAGACAGTCACATACCTGGTCTACTTTCTTATTCATCTGTTCTTCTAGACAACTGGAGGAAGACTTTTAGGACCAACGACCTCATAGTTTTGCACCAGTCAGCAGATTTCCCTCCCTCACTGACTCCAGCAATGTTTTACATATTTATCTTTCCATTTGATTCAGACAATCAGGTCCACATATACTTGCTTACATAATACATGCAACTACAGACAAAAGTCAACAACCACAAGTTCCAATTTTCAACCTGTTATAGTAGTTATTTTGTTTATTAAAATCAGCCTATGCTTGTACCTAAAAGGTAGCAAGGCGTCTCAGTATTTCTGTTTCATACCACTGTATTTCTCTCACTCTGAATTTTAATTTCACTGGAGCTTGTTGGCATAAGTATTTTCGACGGTTTTTTAAAAAACCCTAACAAGTCTTCCATTTTGAATTAGAAACATGCAACACAACCCAGGATACACTGGGGAAACTAAGTACTACAAGTGGGTTTTCACAGCTCTGTGAAAACAGAAAAGAACAAGGATTTGTCGGGGTCTTGGGAGGAAGGAAAGTGATAGGGACAGAGGGAGTGGGAGGATGATGTAGAGAAGGTTTTTCAGTTACTAAGTCGTTATGGTCAATGTTTCACTTTTAGTACTGAATTAACAAAGTGATGGGAGGTAACCTTATTGAATTGTTATGAACAACCACTATTTGCTTAAGTCAGCTCCTAGCAAGAACTATCAATGGTTTTACACTATTCCATTCAAAATATCATTGACTAAGATAACACTTCAAATGAGATTTACATTTTAATTCTTCCACTGTACTCAGAGGATCACGTCTTAGGTAGAGTCTATTACAGAATATAACTATAAAAGTTGGCATTTAAGGCAGGGTTCTTTTTAAAGAGAGGGAAGCCTGCGGTTTAAAAGGATGTGAAAGTGAATGGAATGACACCTACTGGCACCCCAGAAAGCTTAGGGTTAGAATGTCAAGCTTTGGCAGCCCTTGCTCACACTGGTTTCCATCCCTTGCTACTTGTTCTGTTTTTCCAGATAACTTTGGGCTTCTTTCCTTAAATCCCTTATAATGTTAATTGGAGTATACTGACAACCACACGGCAAAACAGGATCTTATAAGATACCTAGGAAACTGAAAACGGACTCTTAAGTATGGATTTTCAGCATAATTCTGAAAACTAGAGGAAATTCAATTAAGAAACCTAATTGCAAAAATGTTATTAGTCCGATTCCTTTCCTTGAAAGCAAGGAAATAAAAATTACAGCTTTTAATTCACTTTTAGCTCTGAGGTTCAGTCTCTTTCAGGTGAGTGACTATAGAGGTCTGCTGACCCACTCAATTCTGTGGCGACAGCAAAGCTCTAAAGAGAAGGAACAAAACCCTCTCCTTTCAAAATTGGCTTGGTTGGGCATAAGATCACCTTTGGTCCTGCCCTACTGACTCTTCAGCCACAAAGGGCGAAAGGAGGCTTTAGGACAGACAGCTCCCTGGGGCTTTGCCTATGGATACCAAGGGAGGCTGAAGTGGCTGCTGTCAGGCTCTCCCTGCCACGGGCAGGATGATCCATCTCTTTCTGAAGGAATCTGGTGGGCAGGCCGGCACACCCCACTCTTCGCTTGTGGCCGCCTCTGTGGCACAATCACTGATTATTCGCCCAGTGTCAGTGTCAATGTCATAGCAAATTAGCAGTTCTCCGGGGTTAATGAGTACTGCCTTTTTCTAGTCTGTCCCTAGGAGAAAGTAAACAAAACCCGAAGTGTTTGGGAACAAAGAGCAAGTTGTCTTTCCGTGGTGTCGTATGTTCCTTTCCCTAAAGAATGAGAGCTATTATTACACACACACACACACACACACACACACACACACACACTCTCTCTCTCTCTCTCTCTCTCTCTCTCTCTCTCACTCACTCACACACACACACACACTCTCTCTCCCTCCCTGTCTCTCATACTCTCTCTTTTAAAACAAGTTTCCTTCTAAGGGAAATAAACACCAAAGGTAGGATTCCAAGGAAATGACTCATGGCTATTGGCCGTGGCGTAGGCTCGGCCGGCTTCGGCCCCGAGCTCCAGCCTGCAGCAGATGCCGAGCTCGCTCTCCCTCCGGTCCGTGCCAAACCTATTCTGAGCCCCGGGGGATGGATGCGGCGAGTCTCCCCGGCTCCCCCGCCCCGCGCCCTCGGCTGCCGCGGCTGGCGGGCGGGGCTCTCCCGGTGACCGCCTCCCCGCAGCTGCACCCGCGGCGAGCCGGGCACTCGGGAAAGTTGCTAAGGCCCAGGAGGAGGAGGAGAAGGAGGAGGAGGAGGAGGAGGGAGGAAGGGAGGAGAGGCGGAGGCGTGGACCAGGCGGGCAGCAGCCTGAGCCCCGCCGCGGAGGTGAGCTGAGGACAGAGCAGCCGCCGCCACCGCCGCCGCCGCCTCCCGCCAAGCCCGCAGCGCAGCTCCACGGCTAGGGGAGAAGAGCGAGGGGGGTGGATGTGGCGGGGGTGGGGGGTGGAGGGGGACAGGAGGTGCCATTTAATGCATTTCTTTTTTTCTTGCAAAGGCGCGCTCTTGCTGCCTACACGCCTTCCCTCCTCCCCCTCTGCCGCGAGGCGCAGGGGGATGGGAAAGGGGCAGGCCAGGGCCCCGGGGGGTCCCCCTGCCCGTCTGCAGCCAGCCGTGGGAGGTGGGGAGGGGGCGCTGCCGAGGCCGCCCGACAGCCGTAGGAGGGAGCGGCGGCTGGAGAGGGCCCCAGCCGAGTCGGGCAAGCAGCGGCGCGCGCCAGCCCCGGGGAAGAGGAAAAACCCGCGCTTCTTCCCTCCCTCCTGGGCCGCCCGCCCGCGCGCGCCCAGCTCCGCTGCCGCGGGAAAGGCCGGCTGGTATTGTGTGGGTGCGCGCGCGCCTGTGCCCGTGGAGAGCCCCCCCACACCCTCCCTGGGCGAGCGGTCAGTAGCACCCCGGCCCCCCGCGGCGTGCGCGCGACCCCCTCCGCCCCCCCCCCGTCCCGGCCAACGGTCACGGCGGCCGCCCACGAAGCCCGCGCGGGCTCTTACCGCGGGGTCAGCCGGGAGGTAGCGGCGGCCGTGGGTGCTGCTGCTTCTCCTCCTCCTCTTGCTCTGCTCCACCTCAGCGGCGGGCGGGCGCTCACCCCACGCCCCGAGATCCCCCGTGCCCCTGGCCCCCACCGTGCGCGCCCGCCGCAGGGATCCCGGGCGGCTCGGCGGGCTTCGGCTCGTCCCGCGGCCCGGCGCTGGGAGGTCGGCGGCTGGGGCTGCCCGGCAGGTCCCGCTGGCCTCGTCTGAGACGCCGCCGCCGCTCCTCCAGACGGTTATGATAATGAGCGGCTCAGTCTAGCGAGGAGCGTGTGAAACCCGTCAATCCTGTTTCCCATTTCCCCGTGGGTTTCCGAGGAGAGGTTTTCAGGATGCCCCCAGGGTTAGAGAGCGAGCATGACAAGCGCGCCTTCCTCGCCCCCTCCCTCCTCCTCCTCCTCCTCCTCTCCACTCCTCCTCCTCCTGCAGCCGCCGCCGCTCCTCAGGCTGCACACGGGGCGCCTTCCCTTCCCCCTCTCACCCCCACCCCTGCCCGCCCCCTGCCTCCTTCCCTCTCTCCCCCCCGCCTCCCACTCCCCCCTCCGCCTCCCGCTCCGGCTCCCGCCGCCGCCGCCGGGGCCCGGGGACGCGCGGGCCCAGCTCCAGTCCGCAGCGCCGCCGCGGCCCACCGACCCAGCGCGCTCCCAGGCTCCCGCCCTAGCCCCGGGGGCTCGGCTCCGGCTGGGATAACGCAATCCCTCTGCATCCTTCCGAGATGCCCCCCCACCCTTTTTGGTGTAGTTCTGCTGCGGTTTTTTTTTTTTAGTCTGTGCCTTTCCCACCCTTTGCAAGACTTTCCTCTCTTTTGCCACGGCAAAGAAAGATGAGAAACAGATGTCTTGCAGGGGTAAGCAGTTATATTTTTTCCCCTTTTCCCTCTACCCCCAGCTGCATATGCACAAAATAGCATTCTTGGTCCTGCTACAACTTGAATTGGCATCTTCTCTCGTAAGGGTGGGGAGTAGAAAAAAAGACTCCCGAGGGGGAAAAGAAAAAAAGAAAAACGTAACCCAAGTTCCAGAATCACCGCATTTTGCAAAGTTATTTTACCCTTAAATGGGCCCAAGTGGGGTTTGTTTTCGAAACATTAAATCCATAACTTCTGCCAAGGGACTCCCTCCCTAGTCGAGATGGGTCATTTCAGGTGTAATGGAGGCATAACATAGCCTTTGCAGGTAGAGACAACCTAGCAAAATTGCACCTGCACAAATGTGTTGCAAAGACTATAATGTTTGTTTACTGCTACTGTGCCAGATGTGCTAAATATAACACTTCTTTAAAGCAGTGATCCTCAGCCTGTGAAAACCAAACCTCTTACTGCCTGGCACCCTAGGAATCAGGGAGACACATCCACTGAAAATCAGAGAGGAAAGGAACTAGATCAAGGATGGGGATTAGCATTTGCAAATTGAACTCTATCTAATTTGCATGTTTATTTCTTAGAATTGTAATTAAATTTGTGTAATAAATGTTTTCCATTTCATTTATAGACTTAAAATTTGGGTGACTGACATGTTGTTAAGTGAATTTATTTTTTAATGCACACATAGTTTATTCAATAAGACTGCAAACATTATAAATGTTAAACATAATTAAAACTAATTTGTTTTGAAGACTTTTGTTGAATTTCGTACTTTAAAGAATCTCAGTGGTTTAAGTGCATTAGAAAGCTGAGAGGAGGGAAATTATGCTGAAAAGAGAACAACCCAACAAACTATTTCAGGAGCCAGGCTTAATTTTTCCAAATGATGTTCCAGGGTTGCACGTCTAAAACCTGGAATTGGGCACCCAACTTGCATACACTCAAGGCCATATTAAATTGCATTGGCACATGCACGATTTAGGCCATTATGATGGTAATTTGAGAACTGCAATGATGCCATATTGTGCTATCAATGGGAGTTCCATGCCCAGATTAAGGGGAGGATATAATTTTCAATGGGGTGGGGGTGGGTGAGGAGTGGGAAGAAAGGGCATTTAAAGCAGTGTAAGTACTTGCATATCTAAATCAGTATCTAAAACTAGTGAGTGCCTAACTCAAATAAAGAACTAAATGTGAGAGCTGGAAGGCATGGCTTATTATTGTTTTTATCTCCCTGTATTAAAGTTTTATAGCATTTAAAGGACCATGGGGAAAACCCTACACACACTTGGCTGTGTTGAAATACATAAAATGAAAAGGAGCAAATTAAGCATAAAATTGAGAAATAACATAAAAATAAGTATCAGCATGGGTTGCATTCACACCTCTGGAGCTTTGGCTTAGAGGAAGGAGCCTTTTGGGAAATTGGCATGCCCTGAGGTGGACTGGCCGGGAAGTAGGCAGGACTCTTCAGCTGAAATGTTGTAACGGAATGACATCACAAGACAAGCATCACATCATTGTACGGCATTGCTTTTTCTTGTTGTGTGTCTTGAATGTGAACTTGACCCTGTCCTGTCCTGTTCAGATACGTCTGCAGGCTTTGCTCACAGCTGTCCCTGCCCTACTCTTAATCTCAAGCTTAACGTTCTTTCTGAAACTCAGTGCCCAAACGCTGACAACACAAGCATGTGTCTGCATGCGCAAAAAGGTAGTAAAATGTCCATTGAATGAGAATCATCGTTTTTAATTGTAAGGTTGGTCCATGGGGGTAAGAGGAGCACAAGGGAAAAGACCAAAAACCAGTAATGAAACATTAGTAATGAAAGTGAATGTCATTTGTAAAGTTAACAAGGTTCTCTCAAAAGGTACATAGACCTGACCTCCATCTTCCATTTGCTGTGGCTTTGAACTACAGGTTCTCTGGCATGGTGGCCCTCCTCACTTGCACCTCTTAACTTTTCCCCTAACTTTTTTCAAGCTTCCACTCAAATCCTACCTTCTACAAGAGGCCTTTCCATCTCCCCAACTGCTTCTGCAGTTCACGCTGAGATTTTCTCCCATCTACTCAGTGTACATTATGTATGTACCTGTCTCCTTCATTAGAATGTGAGCTCCTTGAGGGCATGGGCTGTTTTTAAAGTTTTTTTGTGTCTACGGAGGTTAGCACACTGCCTGGCTCATAACGATTGCTTAATAAATTCATTTTGGTTGATCATTTGATATCCAATTTAAAACCATAATGTTATTTATCTTCCTTTACAAGGTTTCTCTTCAGAGCTTAAAGGAAATTTGGAGAGTATCCATTCCAATCCATTAATATTTATAGATGAGGAAACTGAAGGCCAGAGAGGGGGAGAATCTTGCCCAAGGTATGTAGACCCAGCCAGTAAGTGTCAGAACTAGGACCTAAGCCTCCTGTCTGGTCCAGTATACTTTTTACTCCCCCCCCCATTAAAAAAATTTAAAACACCTTCAGATGTCTAATGTCACAGAAGGGAGTGACTTTTTTTCTTCAATTAGCAATGAGAATGGTAGGCCTAAAATGCTGAAAATCGTTTCACTGAGAACTTGACCATCCTTTGAAGGAGAGATTCTTTCTCTCCTTCTCTTTGTTATTTCTCTTCTCTTTCGGCCTATTCTAGACTTTTATTCTTTGATTCATAGCCCTGGTACTTATTAATTCCTTCTTTAGTCTCTGTAGGCCTCATATAATTAAAGCTTCTAAGGTACCTATTTTAAGTTCCCTCTTCTAAACAGTTTCTATGTTATTGTCTTGCCCCCTTCCCCCCCTTTTCTTTTGTGCATCAGAAATATGTAGGAGAGAGAATATAAATATTGCTCATTGTTAGGAATTTTCCTGTGTTCCTGATTGTGTAGTTCATTACAATATCCCCATGATGATGATGATGATGATTTCATTGGCCATGAAATCTCCTCTCTGGATCCATACCCTCCCACTCTTCTGAATCCTCTGATTCCTCTCCTCCTGAGGTCGGCTGTGGTCCATGGAGACTCAACAATCAGTGGCAGACTAGTGTTTGCATTCTCTAATGCAGATCATACCCATGGTAAGGCCCCCATCTCCCACTGCAGAATATCACTCTTCCCTGAGGGGAGTGTTCTTCAAGGGGACTGAATTGCCTGCCACTGAATTGAGATTTTTCCCTTTCATTCTCCCTGTTTCAGTCCCTCCCTATACCTTCTTCCCCATTCTCTTGTAGGTTCTCTGAAAGGGAGAATCTTGGGAAATCTTAATTCAGAGCTTAGTCGATAATGCCAGTCTAAATGAATAAAAACTCTCAGTTCCAGAATATTTTAAAAGCATATGATTTCTAATGCATATAGAAATTAGGTTGGCAAAGTGCAGGTTGTTAGAGTAAGTAGAGCTGCTGCAAAAATAAAAATTTTCTTTAGAGCTTTAAGGTTTATTAAAAAAAAAAAACACTTCTCACCACCAATGTGAGATGGGGAAGGCAAAAATTATCACTCCAATTTTATAGAAGATGAAATGAAGGCAAATAGAGATTAAATGGACTTGTCCCAGGCATTTATCCCAGGCCTCATGGGGTCCAAATCCAGTGTTTTTTCGATGCCACCACATCTGCCTTTCCTGGGCAGAATTGTGAAGGGGACAACACTCCCAATTTCCACCTAGCACCTGCAGCCCATTATTCTCCTTAGGCCTTTTAGCCTTCCAGGAACCAAAGCCTGTTCTTCACAACATCTTGTGCTGTGTCAATTACCTTCTCAAGGACCTAAGATGCAAACAGTCCACCCAGTCCTGCCCTCAGGTTGGGTTGTCCAGACCCATCCTCCCCTGGGTAATCCGGCAAAATAACCAATGCTGTCCTGTTAACTCCAAGCCAACCTTCAGCGTTAGCGCTGCCCATGGGCACAAGTGTGAAATTCCTTTTTGAGCATTGCCAGCCTCCCTTTTCTGAAGTTCAAGCACTGTTACCACCCAGCTGTTCTACCTTTAAAAGTCACTCAGGAAAGCCTCTGTCAAACTCATCTAATACGAGTGTGTTGTCTCTAACGGTGTATCCACATTTTGACATATAAATCCTTGCATGGCTAGAGCCCCCCCAAAAAATGAAGCTTTAGTTAAAAATTTCAGGCATTTTGGAAGATGAGTAAAGGATCTTAGGGGCAAGGAAGGCCCTTCTAGAACTCCTGAAATCACAAGAAATAAGTGTATGCTTAAGTCATATACCATAAACTTTGTTCAAATAGCTATCTAAGTTAAGTGGCCTGATAAAGTGATCCCTCTAGAAAGGGAAGGGATTTAAGTTGCTATTTTTCTGGACAGAACACTAGAGGTTAAGTGACTTGCCCAGGGTCACATAGCTGTTACACATCCATCAGTACCTGAATGGGGGTGTGTTGCTGGCTCTAAGACCAGCTCTCTATCTGTTGTTCTGCATAGGCTTTCAAATTTCAGCTGATAATTAACCTGTTAATTTTTCCCAAGAGTATTTGCATTTTAAAACACTTTTGAATAACATAGTACTTTAACCCAAGGGAATGAATCTCTAATGGTGGAATTTTGGGCATTATGGCAGACTAGAGAGTTATTTGGTAGAAATAATCATAAGAGAAA